GAATTACAGCAGCAGGACTCTGCAGGATTGCTTATCACTTCCTCTTCCTGCTTCCAGGTACCTCTGAGATTTGTAGTCCACAGTTGCAGCCAGCAGTGAGTTTGAGCAGGGGAAGGGGTGTTTAACCCTCTTTCCTGACCCCAGCCAGGGTTTGCCTGTGGGGGGGCAGTCCTCCCCTGCAAACTGGACTGCATCCCCAGCTGGGCTTTTGCCCCACTGCCCCCACACCTCCTGGTCAGCCAGCCCTTACTGCTCCAGCTAGAGAGCAGAGGGGCAGGACCAGCCCTGCTGTCTGAAGCCAACAGCACAGCACAGCCTAGGGCTGGACAGCATGCTGGGATTCTGGGGGGGCTCTGATTTAACTTGAACCAGCAAGGGGTCTGGGACAGAAATTTCATAAACCAGTTTAGCCCAAATCAGTTAAGTCTGATACTACATTCAGCCAGGTTTATCTTAAACCAGTTTCAGCCATTTTCACTGGTTTATATGCACTGGACTTATGTTCTGTTACAGGTATAAACCAGTTTCTGACCACTTAAACTGGTTTATGTGTAACTTCTCTCCCTAACCCTAAAGTGTAAAGGTTCAAAAGCATCTAAGTTTCACAAGCATTCACACCATTTGCCTTCTTGAATGATTTACAAAGGGAAAAATTGAGTTAAGATCATTTTAAATTTTTCCCTCTCCCTAGGAAAAAGTGAGGGGAAAAAAGAAAATAACAGGAACAAAACAAAACAAAACAAAACAAAACACAGTCTTCTCAATTTTTACTGATTTTTTTTTTCCCACTATAAAAGATTGGGTAAAGTAAACAAAGATGGATCTCCCATATCTCCTAAAACTGAAAGGAAAAACATTATTACTGTTTTAGTTTTCAAAATCTATGCCAGAAGACCGACCCACATTTTGCTTAAAATGCTTCATTTTAATAAAAAATGAAAGTTGGATACTTCTTTTCCCCAAAGAAAATTTTAATTTTTAATGAAATTTCATTTTTTGGCAAGAACATTTCTCAACTTGTTTTGACTGACACTAATGTCATTGTTTGGTAAAACTGGATGCATCAGGACTCTTGTCTGTGGGTTGTGAGAGGCAGTCAAGAATGAGGAGTCAAGTGGGCAGAAGTCCAATAAGGATGAGGAGAAAACAGAGGGAAACTGGAGGCAGGAGTATGAATAGGCAGTATGGAGGGAACCACTAACTTGAAACAAGACTGAGATAGCCTAGGCCTAGGGGCTAGCATAGAAACTGGTCAAAGACAGGTGTGTTTTCAGGGTCTGAAATCAGCAACTGGACAAAAAACATGGATTTTGTCAAGGTAAGAAATGTCAATATATGGTGTAGAGACTTTATGAGTCACTACACTGCCATCTACTGTTTATTGATTGTACGACTAGTTACAGGTAGAATTGGCTGAAACTATTTGGCACAATTGGGTGGTTTTGGTCAAAAACTGAGTTGATTTCTGACAAATTTCCAGTTGACTTTAAAAAAAGTTTTATTTTGTTTTGGGATAATTTTGTAGTGGTATCTGTTATTTGTATTAAAACCATTATCCAGGTGATTATCTACAGAGCTATCCTTCCCAATAACTTTTTGCACAGTAAAAAATGTAAATGGTCATAAAGATGTTTGACTAAAGATTTCACTTTAGGTCTGAGAAACAAGTATAGTACCTCCTGGAAGTATTGCTCTGATAAGGGCAGCTACACCATGACCACTGAAAAGGGTGAAGTGTCTTTTGTGCTCTGCACTTGGACAGCATCCTGGGTGCTGCATTAGGTTTGCCTGGAGCTCCTAGGAAAACCTTCTGCTGTCATTAGCCTCTATTGTCCTTGCACATGAGCACAAGGATCATGCTATGTGCAGTCTGGGCACAGTTTCCCAAAATGGGCCAGGTCACTTGCACTTTTCTTTCTTTCTGTGCTCCAACAGAGAACTGAGCTCAACCTTGTCAGCCGTTTTCAAGCAGGAATCTATCTAGTGTATTATAGTAGTAGCCTCAGTGGTGTTTGCAGGGGATAGCTGTAGCTTTTCAATAGACCTTAAAAATTACCTGTCTTCAAATTTTTTTTTTGCCAAATTCATTTATTTTACTAGTACAATGGAAATGTCTGGACCTAATTAGCCCAGCGCTGCTCATCCTTTGGAATAGATACCCACTCAGAGCATGCAACCCCTTTCTATTTCAAAGAACTAGGTGGAGCGTAAGTTAAATTCATCTGGGTTTTTCCTCCCTGCTACATATTATGTGCCAAGGTTATTTCTGCTTCTTAAATCCTGATTACATCAGCTCAATATTGATGTACTGGCCTTAATTGTAATGATTTGTTGTACTCTTCAAGTGGCATCCACCAGCTGGTGGATTAAACCACCTGCCAAATCGATGTGTGTTGAATTGTATGACTCCCCCTTTTACCTACGGCAGATGATAATATATGGAGCACATATGGGGTCAGTATGAGGAGCTTCAGTATGAGGAACTGCCCTACGTCTGGCTCAGTCATTTACATTTAGCCAAACTGGATGTAAAATGCTACTCCATTCTGCTTTCATAGAAATGTCTCAATACTTTGATATACAGTTACAAACACTTTGCATTGATTTGTATAACAACTCAAAGCCCAAGCCAGTGAGGCAATGAAGAAGTAGACATAAGCAGACTTTATACTGAAAAAAACTATTGAGCAAAAATGGCACCTTCTGCTCTAGCATATTTGCTTCCAGTAAGTTCAGTTCAGGTTTTCCTACCATTCACTCTGGAGAGATGAGAACATTTGTGTAGAAGGGTGAACTGGATTTTATTTTATCTCATGCATGGGCTGCAAAATACCACCGCAGTTCCAACTGCAGAATTTGCATTATTGTGAAAGGTGATGCGTGAAAAACATAGGAAAAAATCCCTCAAAACTTGATTTTCAGATTATTAGATAAATGTGGATGTAGGGGCTGTGAAACATCATCTTTCAACTTGTAAATTGGAACATTTGATCTGGAAATTGTGTGAGGTTGAAGAGAGTTTTGACATTGAACCGACGAGCCAGGATTTCATCCAATACATCCAATGTATGTATCCATCCATGTACATACATATATTACAATGTCCATTCAGAGTACCCTGTAACGGCCCTTTTTACAATATTCCTTTTTCTCAGAAAAGCAACACAGTTACCAAGTTGAATGCTGTCAGTTTTAGATATTGGTTTGGTTGGTCGGTCCTTTGTTTGCATTCCTTACAAATAAATGAAGGCACTCACTTCAGGTGCAAGCTTTATTTTTTGAGGGTATGTTTTTTATTTTACCTGGAAGTTCAGTTGGGATGACGGAAACACAAAGGAAGCCTAGGGGCTATCCCTGTAGTCATGTGCTTAACTGGTGAGTCATTTTGAATTCTAGTTCCCCTATCTCCTAGCTATGTGTTTTTAATAGCTATGCACCATGTCACTCGCTTTATATTTTCATCTTCTATGAGCAAGCAATTGCTGCCATGACTAAGAAGATCAGATTTTTTCCTTCATAAAAATGCAGTGAAAAAAATTTTACCGAGGTCACAGCCATGACATTTACTGGTCTTTGAAATCTGATGTTTGATCATGAATATATGTTAGATATGCGAGTAAAGGGATTTTGGGAACCTCAGGGGGCTCTACACAGCACACTGAAACTTCGATTCTTCCTGGAGAAGACTGGGGGTGTGCTTTGTAGATGCTGAAAGAGGCAGAGGGTTGGGAAGCCAGTCAAATACCTGTAGACTGTAGAACCACTTTCATTCATACTGAGGCTTCATTTCATTTTACTTAAAAGTCTGATTAATTAAATTAGGAAGCTTCCAGCCTTGCGGGAAGGATTTTAAACTCAAATGAAAACACTGTACATAACTTGAGCTTTATGTTCATGTTCTTCCTACAGATCAAAGAGGATATTTTTAGGTCACTTGAGAGTTTCTGCCAAATGAGGTCTCCGAGCACAAACAACCAACTGGCTTCTCGTTAAGGTTAGGAGTTATATATATAATTTATATTTTTTTCTGTCTTGTTGTCCCTGGTTAGAAACATGTCAAATTTGCTAGCCTTAGCAGTGCAAACATCTAGAGCTGTCAGTTCAGAGATGATACCTTTTATTAGACTAACTGAGAATTCACCAAAAAAATTTGCCTTAGAAGTATATTTAAATGAATGTCTGTCTTTTTCCTTTACAGGTAATGCTTCTGCTGCAGAAGAGCACCTCGTATGTGAAGTAAATGGGATAAAATTCTAATACATGGCATATTATATCTATTCTGTTACAAACTACATAACACTTCCCTTCTTTCTCAAAAAAAAATCCCATGCTATATTTACAAAGTTTACTTCATAAACCCAAAACAAATCTATAACTCACCACAAGGCAAGGAATGTTCTATTTATTCCATGATTCATAGCTGTTAGCAGGATTTTTACAATTTGTTCACAATAGAAAATAATTGAGCCAAAAAGGTTAAACGTAATTTTTAAAAAAAGATTTAGTACTGTTTGCTATTCACTACAAACATGTGAATTTGTTTTGAAACGGAATCATCTACAAATGAAGTAATCATAAAGATACTTGATGTTGTGCGGCACCATTGGGCTACCACGCTGATACTTGGGCAAGCTCTCTTCTCACGGCCAATGAGACTACTACAAGATTTATTTTAAAAACTGATTCTTCATTAGTCTAACTGCTTGACAGATGTAATATATGTACATTGCAGAATGAACGCATTTCCATGCTTTAGTTTATTGTAAGACCCGCAGCATTTGTGGTGACAGAACAAGAGAAGATAAGTGAAATCATTTTAATATAATATCAGTGAACAACAACCCATAGAAGAAAGAAAATAGTTCTTGAAAGTTCTGCATATGTATATATTGCATTGAATAGCTTTACAGACAAATTTACATCAAGTACATAATATATTTTAAAACACTAATTTGTAGAGGACAACAAATTAATTTTTTTCTTTTGTACAGAAATGGTGGTGTGATTTTTTTTGGGGTGATATTTTGATTTCTTTAGGAGGAGTACTCATACTCTTCAGCACTGCGGCGTCCAAAATCCATCCAGCCCATGTAGTCTCTGTCGTTTATCCTGTGTGTTGGGTCAATGCTCTGTACCCTGTTTCCCATAATTGAGATCCTTCCAGTAGGGCCTAATGGATTAGAGGTGAAGGGCAAAGAATGAGTCAGCTTAATTTTAGGATTAACTTGGTTACCAACTTGATTTTTGCATTTGTCACAGGTTTGTGTGTACAATGGGTTGAGTAGTCTTATTTATACCAACTTTATCTATACTCTGCAGTAAATTCTTAGATAATAATCTAAACATTGGGGCAATGTCTTTAGAATTATTTGCTTTTATACAAAATGAAAAATCACAACAACTGAAGGTTTGCTGAAATTGTGCATTTTATGGTTCTTGTTTGACTGTGACTGTGCAGCTTTCCCTCAGGCATTACTTTCCTGTTATGAAGTCTGCACTTGTAGATTAACTGTTTGGGGGTCTTTTCTGCAACTTTACTTGATATGTTTCTGTCTTCGCTTCTGGCTGTTGAGAAGGAGACTGGCTAGTAGGGGTGGAGGATGGGGTGTTGAAAAAAGACTGATACCTCCAGCTCATTTGTTTAGTGGGCTTTACACCAGTGGTTCTCAACCTTTGATACCTTATGTACCCCATGCTGATCAACGCAGCAAAAGGGAAACCGGAAGTCCCACTGTGGCACTCCCAGTTTCACTGCTGCAAGCTAAGTCCCACTTTTTCCAATGCGGCCCGGGGCAAAGCATCCTGCATGGGGCCTCCCTCCCTATCCCCTGGCGCACTGATGTTGGGGAGTGAAAGCCCTGGTACACCGGACACGGTGGGAGGGGCGGTGGCTGGAGCTTCCGGCCTGAGAAGGCAAACACCAAAATGCAGCACCCACATATCCCCTGCCTGTGTCTCACGTACCCCCAGGGGTATGCATACCATGGGTTGAGAAACACTGCTATACACCATCTACAACATCTCCCTTTTGTTTGTGAGGCATTGTGGAGAATATTCTGGTAATGAGCTAATTTTCTTTGAGAGCAGGCTCATGTCTGAGAGACGGATTTCATGATGATTCCTTAGGGTTGCTTGAAGCGTTACAAGTTGAACTAAACATGAGTAGACATATCTTTAATATGAGTGGGATGGAGTTAAAGCACATGAGTTTGGCAGAAGAGCTAGGAACACATTTGAATGTGAGAACAGTCTGGCCAGAAGTTATAGACAGAGCTATATGTTTGGAAAACTATCAATTCTAGTACTTTTTGAGGGAGGTACTTAGCTGTGTTAGCCTGAAATGAGGAAAAAGGCAGGACAGGGCGATACCTTAGAGAAGTGATTCTTAACCAGGGTGCCACAGTACCCCACGATCCTTTCAAAGGTGCTTACAGGTGTCATGCAATATTAGCACTGTTAGGTTTGCAAACACGATTCACAAGATAAACTCAGAGATTTCAAATAGGAATTTATAGTGTTAAAAACATTCTGATCTGTTGTGGTCTTTCTGAGTTCTTTGTAACAGAAGAATTGCTTTATTATTTTTCTGTAGCCAAGAAGAAGTGAAAACCAAGAGCTGGCATTTTCTGAGGGGTGCAATGAGACTAATGAGTAGTGCCTTGAATCTCAAAAGATTGAGAACCACTTCCTTAGAGACTACTTTGCCATAGCATCTGATGAAGCTGGCTATTGCCTAAGAAAGCATATGCATTTCTGAATGAGTTAGTTTCTAAGGGTTAGTCTCCACAGGCTCGATTAAATCAAGTCTGCAGGAGCACAGAAATAGACATGCATCAGCAGACTCTGTCATCATGTGTATGAGCGCCCCTGCACCAAAAAATGGTGGTGGGGCACTTCGAATTAAAGCTTGTTCAATAAGCTTTAGTTCAAAGCTCCCTGCTGCCATTTTTCAGTATGGGGGATGCCAATATATGATGTGTGGGTGGTTAATTAAAAATACTCATTAAGGCACCCCCCATGCCTCCCCAAGCACATGTAAAAATGCCCCACAGTTCTGAATGAGTTAGTCCCTGCCCTGCTTTCTCTCTTGCTTTTGAGAAACTTTTGCTGACTCAGTGTCTTGGTTCTGAACCTTTGCTGGCCCATCAGCAACAGTTTAAGCATTTGCTGTAGGCACCCCCATGCTGGGTTGTTCCCACCAACCTCAGCTTTGTCTTTTCTAATTTACTATACATACAGCCAACATAGAAGAGCCTCAGGGGAACCATATTGCTCACAAACCGTGGGTTTGGGGACAACTGATCTCAAGTGTCTCCATAGCTCTCAACATTATACAGTGTTAAACTAGACTGCTGATCCCTGCTGTTGTCATAAAGGCAAAGATATCTTTAGGGTGGCAACATAATTAAAGTAATGGGATGCTAAAGCCAACATTTTCTGTAATAAATGAAAACCCTGTACTTTAAAAAGGAAGAGTCTTTTTCTGTCTCAATAGCACCATGTAATTAGCAATGAAAGAACTGTAGAATATCAATTCAACTTGCATTTATCCAAACACATGTAAATTTACATTTCTGTGGCTACATTTTAAAACCAAGTGCAGTAACATTGTAATTATGAAAATGAGTTTAAACCTGTTACCATTGAGGTCTATGTCAAATTTCCCATTAACTTCAGTGGGAACAGGACCAGACCCATGTTGTTAATGCTTAATTGGAACAAGTCTGGCAGTCTTTAAATGTATAAAAATTAAAAAAAAAATCCCAATCTGCTTTCCTGCTTATGGGGTTTTATATTTTAAAGGAGCACCTATCGCCTCTCTGCTTTTATAATTGGGTAGTTTTCTTCGCAGATGCAAATGAGTCATTTAAAAAAAACAAAAAAACCCAAAAACCTTAAATCACTTTGCCAATGATTGCAGAAGGTAGGAGAGTAAATATAAACTGAAATAAAAAACCCAGCAGATCTTAGTCATTTACTTGGACCAAAATGTCAAACATTTAACCACATAAGAGTGTGTTTGATTAATGTTAGAAGCCACGAAATTCACACATTTAATTCAAAGTATGTAATTATGGAGTGATGAGAATGGTTTCTTGGCACAGCAGAATAGCTGGAAACCATGTCTTAGATCAGGGACTACTTAAGAAACTTCTGAGCTTGCAGATCAATGATCCAGTGGGCACTAATGGTTCCTCTGGACTAATTATGGTCTGCCTTGGAAAATGCTCCTTTGAGAATTTTAAATTTTTGCATCACTGACTTGATGGCCACAGTGTGTTTCATCCACCCAACTGCCAGATGCATGCTAAAAAGGCTTTAGGATTATTTAATTGAATGGCCTGGTGGTTTTGTTTAGTCAACTGAATTTCTTAACATCAAAATAGCGGTCATTTTAGTTACCTTTCTCCAGATTCCTGAAGCATGATGAAGTATATACACTTATGAAACAAATGAACCTCAAACGTTCCAGCTTTCAAACTGTGGTCATTTTTGGAAAGAAGCTAGCTCCTAACTCGACCCTCTTAAGAGAACTCCCCCCCGCACTGTTCTAGCTGTAAATAGTGACCTTCCACATAAACCATAACAACAAATATCCATATTAACCACTCATAGCAATGAAAAGTATTCAATCTATATACAGCTAAATTGATAGAGTTTTCTAACCATTTAGTCTGAAAATGACTGATGTACTGCAGGAGAGGTATCTCTAGAGCCTTATTATATTGATCAGAACCTTCATTTTACCATTTTTATGTAATTTAAAAGCAACACGGTCTTGTAAGATGAGGAAGTCGCACCTTTCTGAGCAATGCAAAAGTATGAGAGGCAAAGAGAATTCTGCCATCCTAAACAGACCCAAAAGGTACAGGTTTATGTAAGAGGGGGAGAACATGACTGGTATTGGGCTTGAAAGGGAAGTAAACTGGAGATCATTGGGTGAGTCTACATATGCCATTAACATGCAGCAATAAACTGCAGAGCTTATGCTCTCGGGAGCTTCCCAGAGCAATAAAGTGCGGAGCAATGATTTACACATGTGCCTGGACTACAGCACATTGAGCCAGGTTGCAGCTTCCCTGGTTGGCAGGGGACCTGGGAGGGTGGGGGTCACCTTGCCAGTCTGGGGCTGCTCTGACCAGGCTCAATGGGTTGCAGAGGGGCTGGTTGGGACACGAGCGTGCTTCAGTGTGAGACTAGCTGTCAGGTAGCCCCCGGAGTGAAGCACCCTCATGCCCTAGCCAGTGCAATCAGCATCTACATATGCACTGCAGTGTATGAAGAACTCTGCAGCAGAGTAGGACTGGTATGCGCTGCTGTGCATGAAAAAAATAAAAGAACAACCCCCCCCCCCCCCCCCCCCCAAAAAAAAAAACCAAAAACAAAAAAACCACAACCCCAAACAACAACCAAAAAACAAAAAAACTGAAGAGGGCTGCTCATATAGACACAGAGATGTTTACTATAATTAGTTAGCTGCACAATACGTGTCTCATGTAGGCACGCCCATTCTGTGCTTTTCATCAGACCCAACCATACAAAGGTTTTTATATATATATTTTGGTTTGTCACTCCAAATCCTAGATTTTCTCCTTGTACAGGTTCTTTTACGAGTCAGGGTCCAAGTACCTGTCAGTAATATTCTAGAATTAAGCATAACCTTTATAGGGTCAGATGCCTATGGTAATTTTTAAAGAACAGTAACACGCATCTAAAAAAAGAAAACTGAACTATACAACTACATAGGCTGTTTTCTATCACATGATATTTAGGATAAATAAAGCCTAAAGCCAAAAGGTTTGTCACTCTGGCTGGTTTAGATAGTTGGAAATGTTAACCAGGTATTTTGGGTAATGCCCAAGCTGATCGGTTTCTTTTTTGGGGTTGGGGGTAAGTTTTTTGTTGTTTTTTTAAAGCATATTTTTAACTGTTTTGAGGGTGTAATAAATCTAGTAAATAAATATCTGAACTGGAATAAATAAATTGGCTTCCAGATAAGATTTTCAGGAAATAGAGCAAAACTCTTCAAATGGGAGAGAGGCTGAGGTGGTACTCTGCAGAATTCCAGTAAGAAACATTTTGCTTATTCATAAAAACCTATATAATTGGGTCACTAATCTTTTGCATGTAACATCAAATCTCTCTTGTCATATTGCATTGGTTGTTAAACTGAGCTCTGAATGGACACAATTAGAATTGGCATCACTAGGTTCTGGGGAAATTTCTTCTGAGCACACTTAAGTGTTTTTGGTTTTTTTCAAACACTTTTTTTCCCCCCATTATTACATAACAAAGATGTGTATGTAAGTAAAAATGTGCATGTATGGGTATACATGCAGTGCATGTGCACCCATGTAAGTGTGTGCATGAACCATTCATTAGACAAATATAGATGCTGTGTGATGCACAGTGCAGGGCACACATTATATCCAGTACCTTTCTATGCCTATAAAGATATACTGTATATAATGCATGCAGTGTCTCTTAGTTGTAGATCCCTATTAGGAGTAAGGATGAAATTTAAAGTTAAATTTGGAGGCCAGCACAGTAAATCCCACAATGAAAATATTTGGAGGGGAGAAGTCAGGAGCGAAGTGGAACCCTGTTGCATGGCACAGACTTAGGTTTTGTCAGCCCTACCCAACACAATGTGGAGTGCAATGGCAGTAGTTACTATTGTGGTCAAAGGTGACCAACCTGCAGCACAAGTGTATATGGCATCCAGCACATCAGGCAGGGAACAGGCAGCACAACAGCCAATAGGACAGAAAGCAGAGCAGGAGATCAGGCAGGGAACACATGGCACGTAGTAGAAAGCATAGGAGATTGGGCAGAGAGTACAGAATAAGGAGCAGAAAGTAGAGCAACAGATTACTCAGAGGAAGGGGATTGGCATGGCACCCAGGGAGGGCATAGGCTAATTCTGGTATGCCTGCCAAAAAGGTTATCCCCCACCCATTTAGGATGAAACTCACATCACTAAGGTCATGAATAGAACATCCACTGTGTAACAGCATTTACTGTACCCCTCCTGGGCTCCTGACATCTACCCTCTTCACTTCTGAGATATCCTCTT